TAATGGTAATCGTTTACCTAATAGATTTGAACCTACAGATGACCGTTTCAGGAGGTTTAAATGAATAAGACAAGTGGTTTTGGATAAATTACACACAACAACACATTATAGTTTTGTTTAAAAACTGAGTGTACGACCGATTTTACTATAAGATATTCTGTACGGTAATTGTTTAAATTATAGTTTTTTAATAATTGTCGGTGGATTGTTTAGTGCCTAATTAATGGCGATTGGAAAAACAAGTATTTTTTCTAAATGTTCACAAAATTTGTAGCCAACAAATTCGTCCGTTGTCTATGCTCTACATAAAAAAATAAATTACCGCTTCCTGACATAAATACGTGTCCCAGCAACGTTATTGATGGGCAGTGTGCGGGTGGCCCAAGTGGCACAAAAACGGCCGAGCACCGGACACAATGGACCCGACTCTACGACCCATTGATCGTGGACAATGGCGTGGCCATGCAAAACACGCCGCCCCGATCACTTTCCGACCACTTCTCTTTTTGCATCGCCGCCGATGTAACTCGTCCCATGAGCGTATGCGTTCCTTTCATTGTCGCAATAATAGTAATAATAACTCGGTAATAACTGCACAAGTATAGAAAACGTAATGTTATAATAATGCACCGGGTCAGCCAATATGGTTCGTGTCGGTACAAGACGACATGGCGATGAAAACCGTTGAAATGGAAAAAGAGTTGTGCCATCGCGAAACGATGTGCTGACCGACACCCGCGAGAAGACAACCCCCTCCAAGTCATCTACGTCGTTCCGTTCCAGTTTGCCGTGTACCGTAATAGATTGAGATTGGGCTTAAATTTTTTGGATCGTTTCACCGCCAGTGTCATTATTATTATTTTGTAAACCTTTTCATCACTGTGTGCGCTCGGCATGTCGCTTATCGGAAAACGGGTTTTCAATATGCTGTTAAATTAAATTATTATAGGCGGGTGAACAGCGATGAGAGAAATAAAAACCATAACAACAATTATTATATTTTTCAACATGTTTTAGAGCACGCGCATATAAACATTTATTATAATTAATGTTTATCTGCACGTGCTCTATCGTCGATGTAGTCTTAGTACCTATAGGCTATGTATAATATACATATTATGTATATAAGATGTGTAAAACTATGGTCTTTGACCTAAGCCAGGCGTCTCGGGGCAGATAAAACAGTAGAGCGCAGGTTCTTTTTCTTCGTCGCGTGCGCAAAACGAATATGACATTTTCTTTCTGTACACTTATACACATTGTTTATAATAACAGAGTACTTTGAACATTTTTTTGCACAAACATAAAAAACACCCAGTTAGAAAAATATTTGTAACCATGAATTTAATGTTCTGTAATTTTATATTGCATTTTTCTGCTTATATGCTTATTCCTACTAGTTGTTTATACAATTATATTAGATACGCATTTTTAGATATATTAGATTACGCGGTTCAAGAAATATTTTTGTAGGGACTATTTAACAAATTTCCTTTTTCTAAAATTATGGAAATTTTACTGAATTTAAAGAAAGTTTGATATTTCATATAAACAGAAACGATAATTTTAATATTGATGGTCAAAGCTTCCTCTAATTCGCGATTTTGTCTTTTTTTACTTTTTATATATTTTTCCATTTCGATATTTGATTATCAATTATGTTATGAATGCAATACAAGTATATTGTTCTGGTTCAATTAACACAGTGCTCGCCACCGCCACCATTATTGCTTACTATGTATATGCGACTGCAAGGACCACTAGTCGATGTGTTTATTAATAAGCACGTTGTCTGTCAAAGGCATCTCGAAACTGTTGGTAGTCTATCGGCTTAATCATTTTTAGCCGCCCTCGGACGTTTTTCTCACATCTAGATCAAAGTGTATATATATTTTGCGTCAATACAACAAATTTTTTAGGATCGGAACTTAAGTGTTATTTCAGAAAAGTCTATGATTCAAACAAAAAGATATTTTGAATTCTCAACATTTAGGCTTCTGAGAAGACACGATGATATTTTAATCCACCAGAAGCGCCTCATATGGGCAGAATCTGGGAAGCAGCAATCAAGAGCTCTAAGCATCACTTAGTTCGAGTGGTTGAGTCAGCTATGTTCAATGTGCAAGAATTTAGTACTCTCCTGTCTCATGTTGAAACCTGCTTAAATGGTAGACCGTTCACTGTCTAGTCATACAGAAAAAATCAAGAAAAATCTATAAAAAAAATGTTTAGTCTGTGGCTGCTTAATGTTATTTCTTGAAGTTCCGCAACCCAAAAACCGATCAACTAACTAACTAAAACGTTGGAAAACTGTGCAAGGCATGATGCAGAACTTTTAGAAACAATAATCTAGAGAATAACTTTGCAGCGTCGTACAAAATGGAATGTTATGGAAAAACGAGTAGGTGATTTAGTCCTCGTTCGCTGAGAAAATAATTTTACAATTCGTTGGCATATCAGTGGAGTGGAACAATTACACCCGTACAAGACAATAAACTATAAATTATTACAATTAAAACGCAAGATAAAAGACTCACGAAGAGACCAGTAGTAAAATTATGCCCTTTACCATCAAGAAAATGCAAGTTTTTTTAACTCAATAATTATTTATCCTTAAGTTATTATCGAATAATTATCATAATTTTGAAAAAAATGTATTTTTTTGTTGTTAAAAACAAATAATAAAAATTATGGTTTTCATTGTCTAAGAATGTAAAAATTATTAAGAAAAAAATTGCAATGAAATTTTAAATGTTATAAAAGTTATAGAAATTAGCTTTTCTATTCTCTATAACATGTGTTTCCGATAATGTTATAAAAGAGTGTATAAAAATTCTAACACGGCGAAGTTGCGGTACTGTTGAGTCAAGTATAGATGATAACTGACAGTGTTTAAAATTACTATCATAAAATACACTTCAATCCAAATCTGTTAAATTTTTCATTAATTTGTATATTTGTAATTGTTTTAAAATTTCACTTAAAAATTGATAGCTTGTGAAATGATTTGCTTGGTGAATAATAATGTACTAAAGAAAAAAATAAAATACGAATTTTTTTACTCTGAGTTCCAATTTTTCGTAGTTGAATAATTATCGGAACAATTCTTTTTTTTTTTATAGTGTACATTTAGTACATTTCAAAAGTTTTAATTTGATATGGGTTTCATGTAGATCACATCTTTGGGAAAATATTCAAAAATTGAATTTAAAAAAAATTGTTTTACATGCATAAGTGGTCTATTCAAGTCTTTTCTATACATAGTTTCCTTTTTGGTTTTCTTAAAGAACATACCAAAAGATGTTTATTATCTATTTTATATTATTAAATTAATTAATATTATGTATTATAAAATTTTCATTAGAACTAATGTCTCTAAAAAAAGTTTTAAAATAAAATATCACTTTTTATGGTAGCGTAATATTCAGATATTTAATTAATTTCAAAAACTTTAAGTGTTTTTCAAAATGTTGACACTTATAGATTCAACTAGATTAATATCGGTTTTTTTAACGTATTGATCATTAAAATCAGTCCAGTGAGTACTGAGAATTTTCATCGACAGACATAAAAAAATACACATTATAACAAAGCCAATATCTTCTTATTTGCATCAAAACTAATCGGTTAACTTTTTTTTACATCTTACTATTCTATTTTTAGATAAGAAAATTGTGTTTATTTATTCTTATGAGTATTATGTAAATAAAATAAAATATATTCTTATAATACATAGTATAAATTATATATATATATATATGTATAATATATTTGAAATATTATTACAATGGTCAAAAAGTTAAAAAATATTATTTAGCTGCATACAAAATATTGTATTTTACTGAATAATTTTTGGAACAAAATATAAAATTGTATTAACTGTCGAAACCTTTAGTATTACCGACATTCGTTAATATCTGAAATTATTTTTTCTCTTTTATCAATATTATATATTCAAAGCTTTTTTTAAAATTTTCAGCTAGGTTTTAACAAACCTTTTTAAAAAAATGAAAACCTTTATCACTAATCATTAGAACAGATTTTAGTGCATTCATTCCATTTATAATACAAGTTATAATGCAAATGCATTTCAAACTATTCTAAAAAATCTTTTAATACCGGAATACTTTTTGTGAAATTTTATTTTATTATTATTGGATGAACTTATGATCTAATCTACAATTTACAACTAAAAACAAATCCATAGATAATGTTAATCAATATTTATACTTAATACATTCAACTTGGACGTGCTATAATATATTAATAAATAGTATTGTAAAAAATCAATATTTTACCCCATATACAAACAAACAACTAAAAATCTGTTTGTTTATTTTCTTCGAAGCATCTGCACAACGTTTACTTAAAGGATTTATACACTAACACTATTACCGTTAAGTCGTTGTAAACATTTCCTGATTTTTGTTAAAAAAGACTATTATTTTTTTGTTCCTATCTTCATTTTTTTTTTGTAAATATCCATTATACTACAAGTTATGTTTACAATATAAATGATACCAGACACGTTTGAATAAAAGAGGAAATTATTGCCACAAAAACTGATACCTTATGTATTATTGTGCATGACATTGACGTAACTTTAAATATGAGAACCAATTGCATGATAATAAAGCGCATATTATTTGTACATAGTAACAATCTGAAGGGTAACGGAAATATCACAAAAGTCAGAAATAAAAGAGAAGACCACACCGGCTGCGACAATAGTGTACCAATACAACCTGTTTACGGATGATTGAATTCACATGGTCTTTTGTACATAACACTCTATAAGATTATAAGCAACTCCAAAAGCGATTGTGCATATTTTAACATAACTTTTTTTGTGCAAAAACTTTGTTTTCTTAACTTTTTACATTTAGAAAAGAATTGAATAAATTTGTAATTTTAAAAACATATAATTAATAAAACGGATTCATTCATGATTGTGTTAAGTAGATTTTTTTTATTTCATCTTGCATACGTTTTAATTTTAGGCAGAACTGGTGATATGGACGTACCATCAGAACCTGGTATAGTTATTTCAAGAAAACAGAGAAGAGGTCGTACAGCATTTACGGCACAACAACTCGAAGGACTAGAAAGATCCTTTTTGACTTGTCAGTATCCAGACATTGCGGCTAGAGAAGCTTTAGCTGCAAAATATGGATTGCCAGAACCTAGAGTTCAGGTAAGAATTCAGCTCTACAAATTTAATCACATTGAAAAAATTATTGGTTTTACAATAGGTTTTTAATATAAAAATAAAGTAAAAATGTTGTGTTGAATATACGCAAATAATTTTCTGTTATATAAAACTTAATTTTTTAGTTTAATACTTAGATAAACTACTAAAAAAAAAAACAGAATATTTATACAATAATTGTATTTTTCACAGTTATATTACTAAAATAATAAAATAGAAAATAAAACTCATACCCAGGGAAATTTTTATGTCCTATTGATTATTTTTAATNTAGTATTGCATACTAATTTTTCGTTATGAACGAATAGTCAATTTCAAATTTTATTTCAAATTAATATGATTATATAATTTAATTATTATTACAATTATTGGAACGTACGTATTTGGTTATTAAATTAATGTTATATTTTTAGGTGTGGTTCAGTAATCGCAGAGCTAGATGGAGAAAACAGAGTAATTCAAATGTTCAACATAATGTCATTAATAGTAACTTTTGCGAAAGTTTAAACACACCTACTTATACAGGTATTTGCTGTTAACGTTGTAATTCTGTAAAATATGCATGCAATTGAGTCTGGGATTACATTATTTAGTATGACACATTGAAAGTAGTTGTACAATAGTCATATTAATAAATTTTAAATAGTCAAATAACGTAATACAAATATTTTATAAGTTGTATTATTTTTATATAATTAAATAAAATTTATATATTTGAAAATGTATATATATGAAAGTTTGTAATATTTTAGTACTGCAGCGCTATCTAGTAGTATTGAATATATAATAGAAGTTATGAGTAATAGTAAATGTAAATTTTACATGTTTATTTCTTAGAGAGAGCCACCTATTTATTTCAATAAATAAACATTAATAATAATCATTTAAATTAAAGCTTATGTAATATACTTTATCACGGAAAAAAAAAATTTGGACTTTATTTTGTTTTCATGGTAAAAACGGACATCAAAGTTAATAAAAAAATAAGATTCTTGTAAAAAAATTCTTTTTTATATTTTAAATTTTATAATGCTATAACTTTTTAAAAAATATATGAATCAATAAAATTGTTTTTTGATAAACACTATTTATATACCTTTTTCATTCGACATATATTATAAATATATTTATTCATATATTACAATTCTAAATCATAAATATTGTAATTAGAATATAAATAAGGAAATAAAAGATCATATAGCTTTTGAAATAATCCATCAATTTTTTAAAATTAAACACTATCTACAGAATTCCATCGAAGCGTTTTTTATGATCACTGTCAGATATCATTATACTTGACCCAACTATGCCACGTCCTCACTGTGCGGGTTTTTTATTACTAGATCTAAATCTAAGTATTAATTATCAATATTTTTTTTTATAGTACTTAACTACAAACCACATTAAGGAAAACCAATCATTAATAAGACTAAAAATTCCAAACTTATAAAAACATTAAAGAAATATCTAATTGTTTGTTATAGTTAAATATTTTTCTTTTAAGTGTTTCAATTCCTCAAATAACTACAAAAAAAAATGGACATGAATTTTAGTTTTCATAATTATTTGATTTTAGGTTTTATTTTATTTTCAACTGATTTTTTAAGATTTGGTTCATATCCCTCATTATCACGGTATTTTAATATGCATTATAATTTTATTATACTTCCTTTTTATTGACATTTCATGAAAAAAATTTAATTTTTCAATTTTAATTTTATAAAGATTAATGAAATTATATTTTTGTAGGTACAGCTGATTGGAGACTTCAACATAGTATCCAGTATAATGGTTACTATGACGGTACTACTTGGGATGGATATCAACAAAATAATAGAACAAGTGCACCATCTCACCAATACGGAGACATGTAAGATATTATCAATGTAACATAAGCATCATCAGATCATTTTCGTAGGTCATGACCAATGCCCAGAAATAGCCCATCCCTTCTTCATCCTTCCCCACCAATTCAAAAATTATAGTATGATATAAAATATTTTTCTAGAGGGGAATAAACTTACCTCTTCAAACCACTTTCTTCCAAATTATACTTTATTTGAATTATGATTATACAATATACAAACTAAAAACGTAAATTTTTCACATTTCCCAACCAAACCCAACCCGTAGTCAGCCTATGCGTATCAGTAATTTGGTTGGTGTTAAATTTAACATTTATTTTTACAATTCTCTAAGTAAAAGTTACAATTGTTGACTGAGTTAAACAAATTTGATTTGTTTTAGATTTATACCACCCACTTATGGTCCTACAAATGAGTTTGCCACCGGAGTCATGAAACGCTCTCCGTCTGTAGAAACTCCAAACGGTCTACAAACTTCGCCGTTTACTAATTCGGTTGCAACTGCTCGTTGGACAGATTTTAATAAGCCTACTGTAGACCCTTGTTCTGTGGCTTCATATTTTAACAATAATTTATTATGATAATAAATTTTACTCGTATATTTATATAATAGCCATTTAGAGTTCTTGTAAAAAATTTGTAGTATATATTTTATAAATTAAATAATGATCTCACAAAATCATTTATAAGTTTCAGTCTTTATCACAAAATTCGTTAGACATTAGAAAATTATTAAAGTGTGAATATTTTTATGGATTTCATTTACATTAATTAATGCGAAATTTGTTTGAAAGATATATGTAAATCCGAATGTAATGATATGTAACATACTTAATTAACAAAAATTATAGAAATATTTAATTATACTTAATAAATATATATGTGCATTATAACCTTACTTAATTTTATTTGATAAATCAATGAAGGTACAAATACGTCAAATGAACCGATTTTAATTTAGTTGAACTAATAGTCATCAAATGTTGGAAAAGATCCTTTAATTTTATAAATTTAGACAAATATAAAAATAATAAATTGAAAATTTTATGAATATTTCAAAAATAGTTTTGTTTAGATTGAGAGGTCGAGATCTTATATAATTACTTATAAAAAAGCGCAATATTTTATTGTATTTGTATCGTAATAAATCATTTCTATGAAACTCTTGGTGTTACAATATAATTGAAATATTCAGAACTGTATTCCGTATAGTTTTCAACTAATCAGTATTAATTATAAAAATTAGTTGTGATAGAAAAAATCTAATTGCATATTGAAATCAGCGCGAAAAAATGATTGATAATAGTATATTTCTGACTCTTATGTCAAAAAATGGTCTAAATTCCTTTAGACCATTTATTCATAATTAACAAATATTTTTATGAAAAGGTTTGTATTTAACCCTTCATTTTTTAAACACGTTTGCTATAAAAGTAATAATTACTATATAATTTTTTATAAATTCTCCGAAAAAATTACAATACTAAGTTATTAAATATAAATTTAATTTTATATTTAATGGCTATAATAAATATATATTCATATATTATACTTTTAAATCAAAGAACTACTAATTAGGAATAATGAAGGAAATAGGAGTTATTTTACTTTGATGTATTATACGAATATTTTAAACTAAATACTTTTTACAGATTTGCATTAAATAATTCCTTATGATATTAATTTTAATCACTGTCAGATATAATCTATAATATGTCCACTGACGTACCTCACTGTGCTACCGTTTTTTAATAAAATGACAATAATAGAAATTGTTGAATATAGTATATTTTAACCTGAGTAACTTAAATTATTTTTTGAAGTGAAATATAAAAACTAATGTACGGGGTTTGAGTTAAATAAAATATATTGCTTTTTAATTTTTTGATAGAGAAATACTGTATTTAATTCTACTAATTCTAGTAATAGTAAAAACTATGATAGATAAATAAATTTAATGAATTATTCTAGATTTAAAAAATTTGGTATGAAAATAACAAGCAAATTTTCAATTAATTTTATCAAATCCTAAATTTTCATATTCAATATTGACAAAATCTTTACACAACTTATCTAATTCATCACAAGCCTCTTGATAATTGATATAAATATTAGGTAATGTAACAATATTTATACATTTTTCGTTTTTTTTTTTCATCTCTAAAATTTCTTTTTTTGAAAGAAAAGGATTTTCATGATAGAAGCAATGTTTTTTATAAACTAGCGATCCATTTTTCATAACTAATTGTAATGAGGAAATCATATATTTTGCGTCATCCATATAATTGTCTGCTACAATTTTTAAATTATTTGAGTTACAAAATTCAGTTCTAGACAAGTTCTTTAATGTCATCCAATGAAGTACATTATTTACTATGTTCCTTATTGGTGATATACAATAAAATGCTCCGTTTTCATACCAAATAAGAGCCTGTTTCAATTTGTTCATTGCGGTATTCAAATAATTTAAAAATACCTCAATATTTTTAATAGACATAAAAAAACTACTTACGCATTTAATATATCTATTGGGACTGTACCGTATCAAAATATTAGACTTTTCTAAATTACAAATATTAAAAATTTTAGATAAATGTGAATAGAAGTTTTGTAATATGTTATAAAATCTACACCTTAACAGTAGAGTGAAATGCTGTCTTTTGAGATGAAAATTTATATTATTCGCTTGATCTCTAAGAACTCGGTTTACACTTAATACTTTATTATTGTGTTCTATATATAGATGTTTCAAAGTCTTCCAGTTACCCTCCTTAATCATAATATTCATATTTACTATTCCCTTTTCATGTGGAACAAAATAACACGGAGGTCCATAAAATAAATGATCACATCTGCATTAAAATATATCCAGTTAAAATCGTTTAAAATCTTAAAATTAATAAATAATTAATAACACTTGCTAAAAAAGAACGCTGTCAGTTGCAAGAGTTTTAGGGATAATTTATACGCATTTTTAAATGTTTGAAATGCTTTGACTTGTTGAATTTTTGTTTAAATTTTACAAAACGTATATGTAAATATGATTTATTATAATAGTCAGTTTATTCCTATAAAATTTATATTCGGATTGATTGATAATTAGAGAAATTAAAAATAAATACTTGCAAATTAAATTGTTAGAATGAATATGAATCAAGTCAAATTACTGTCAAATAGCGGTTATTTTATGACATCAATATTAGAAGGTACATATCATTGTTATAATTAATGGTAGTAAGGCACATTGTTGTGAGTTTATAAATACACTAACTAACAATACAGAAAGGATATCTATTGATAGTTAAAATTAATAATAAACAATCCTTGAATGTGACAGCAATGTCAAAAAAACCAATTAGCTACCTGTAATTGTAATCCCTTGTGTAGTATACATGATATTACCTCAAAAATTTGAAACTTTAAATGTTTATATCTAATAAACAAATAAAGTTAAAATAAAAATTCAAATGCCATTTACTATTAAATTAAAAGCTGAAACATTTTATTAAATTCAAAATATGTGTTTTCATTTAAAAAAACAAAGTGATACCCTTACAAAGCATAAGGGATGAATTTAAAAAGTATTACATAGTTAATAATTCAAGAATAATGTGTAACTAAAGATAATAAAAAAAATATATATTTAAATTATTATTATTCTGTAAGTAATTGAGTAGGTTATGATAAAAAAATCACCTGTATAACAGAAAGTATTTAAATCATTTAAAATTCTACGCGAAGACATATCTAAATAAGCAAAATAAATTATACTATATCATATTGTATAAAGACAGGAAAATTTAATATTTTATATATTAATTTTATAGAAAATGTGTAATGATTATAAAATAGTTTATTTTTGATAATTTTATTGCAATCTGTGCCATATTCTTATATTTATAAATTTACATAAAAAATAATAAAACGTATACTTTGTAAAATTAAACAAATATTCATCAAGTTTAAACTTTATTAACTTTAAATTTTATAATATTGTTGACAAAAATTCATAGTTCACTCTTTACGTCAATATAAAATTAATTTATGTCCAAGAATTTAGATTTATTATTTTATTATATCCTCATGTATGTAACTTTCATATTTTATAATATTATTCCATTTTAAACAGTTATTACAAGAGCTGGGAAAAATAAAAAGCTTGTGTACTTTAAAAAATGAAAACTGGACATTATATTAAGTTAAGAGCCGATAAAGTAATTGTGAGATGATTTTTGAAATCAGAGACTTCGAAATACTTTTTCAACTTACAACTTTTTTTTATTGTTAGTCAGTGTAATAAATTCAATATATAGAATTAGAGCGCAAAAATATGCTATATTTCCAATAATCACCTAAGAGGTGAAATTTAATCTCACTTTCATTTTTTAACAATAATTTTTGTAAATTTTAACGCCAAGTTTTTTATTTAATTTATAATATACATTAAGTATTTCTAAAATAAAAGATTAAGAAAAGCATTTAGAAAAACTCATGGGATCTCGTCTAATTATTGTATAGTTAAAATTTTATTTAAGTTCAAAAATAATATGAGGTATATTGTTAGGAAGTAACTTCCAAAAACTGAATATAAAATAAAATAATTATTTCAGCTTTTCTTAATTTTAATATTACAAATGCTATAATATTGAAAAAAATTAAACCTATTTGATTGAATTTAAGTCCATAAAACTTAAATTAATAGGTTCTTTAATTAAATGATATTTTGATTACTTATATCATATTTAAATGACAATATCAGAGTTTTAAAAATTTTAATTAGGGCCATACATTAATAAAGTTACCCAATTTGAATGATAAAAAGATTTTTAAAAATATTACCACCCATTTTCACGTTTTTTGATGATTTTTCAGAAAAATGTACAGATAATAATTTGATTAATTATTATGAACTCTTTTGTACAAATAAATTTACTGTAATATGTACTTTGCACTATAATATACTTAATTATATTATTACACTACTGTACGGAACTCAACTATAATGCAATATAATTAAGTTCCATTGTAAGGTAAAATTATTTCTAAGGATATATTTTAAAAGTAATATAGAGGAGTTGATTAAATAAAATTTTAACTAATTTATATTAAGTTTTTTATCATCAAATTTCTAGATATTAGCTTTAAAATATTTAGAAAAGTTAAAGGGCGGAGTAGTATTTAGCGACGATCAATTTCTACCACAACGCACAGATAAGAATTACTCTATGTTGAGCACCCCTCTCATCTATAAATAAAAACTATATTAATTCAAATAGTAATGATACAAAACGGGTCATTTATATTTCTTTACTCAACTGAAAACTTTCTTATTCTATAAAAATTATTGTACCTAATTTATAATTCAAAATTTTTGTTTAAAAAGCAACACATCATCTATAATAACTCATTTAGGATAAAATGAGTTGTTAACAATTATAAATTGATAAATTATTGCATTATAATACTTGATCCATTTATAACTCGGGAACAAATACATTTTACCAACCCCATTGAGATTTTTTACGTGCCTTTTCCATTGCTTTTTTCAAAAGTATTAAAAAAATGTTTGGAAATTATTGGTTCAAGACTTACAGCTTTTCAAAGTTGATATGTCGGAAAACAAAAAATAAATTAAAAAATGTTTTTTTTGTTATATTTAATAATATGAAATCGTGATCACATTACTATGACGTAATGCCCCTCGCCCAAAAATAATCTCAAAAGTATGGGTATATTCTAAAAATTTTGTTTTTGACCAAAATTACGTAATACAAAAAAATTAGGCTTTTTGTAGAATTAATTTAATTGCAATGTAAAATTATATTATTGAACTGATGAGATAATGCAATATTAAATTTAATTTATAAGACCAATCATCAAAATTGTACTAATTTCTAGTTTCTTAAAAATAATAAGATTATGGATTGAAATCGTATATTTTACAGTATTACTTACATACTTTAGTTTATTTATAAACACTGTAATGGAAGATTATTTTAATTTTTCTTATATACCATATTTATCTCCAACTATTTAAAAACCAACTAATTACAATGGAAAATTTTAATTATATTAAAATTTTTTAATTATGCAATAATGATTTGAATAGTAAAGTAGACGTTAATAATATTAATATACTAGAATCTTATCCCCCGCAAATTATATTTATAATCCCTTGTGTATTATACATGTATATTAACTCGAAATTTTGAAACTTTAAATGTTTATATCTAATAAACGAATTAAGTTATATTAAAAATTCAAATGCCATTTACTATTAAATTAAAAACTCAAACATTTTATTAAATTAAAAATATGTGTTACCATTTAAAAAAACAAAGTTGACCCCCTTCCAAGGCATAAGGGATGAACTTAAAAAGTATTACATAGTTAAAAATTCAAGAATAATGTGTAACTAAAGATAATGAAAAAAAAAATGTTTAAATTATTATTATTCTGCAAGTAATTGAGTGGGTTATGATAAAAAAATCACTCTGTATATAATATATAACTAATTTTTGCTTCCTGGAAGAATCGAAATATATGATGTGTTGATCCTTAATTAAAATTGTAAAAAAATTATAATTTTCTAATTTACTTGTATAAAAGCGGATTAATTATTTCTCTAAATCCAAGGTTTTCATAATCGTTAGTTATGGTGTTCTTGTAAAATGAATTTAGCATATATAACACACAATCGATAATTCTTAAATTGGAATTTACTGATTTTAAATTTAAATATTGCTTTTCAAAAATCAATTGATAGTTAATTGGTTCGGGTAGTTTATCCAGAATATGATTATTCCTTTCGTTACTTTTTACTATGTAATACAATCGACCAATGAATGTTTTAATACTTGAAAGTACATAAGTCGCATTTTTAGGTATAAAATTACCATCCTGGTCAATATAAAATGATTGATCTGTAATTTTCATGGCATTTGTAACATGATAGGCAAAATAAATTTCATCTACCAGGACGAATGGAGTTTCATAATTTTTTATATCTATATGACTCAAAAACGTCATAACTTGATATAATTTGTCAAACATAATAATAGAATTTTTTACTCCATGTTCAATATTTAATGTGCAATCAATAAAATCTCTGAATAAATTTGCTGTTGCATACTTTTCACATTCTTGTATACTTAAAGTAATAAACTCAACATAATTTCTTATTACCTCACTATATCTGTAGTTAAGTAAACAAACAACAATATTAAACACGGTCATAATATTTTCATTGTTAATTTTTTGTGCAAATAATTTTTCTATTGTAATATTATTGTACGCATTATCCAACTGCAAATGTTTAATTGAATTCCATCCTTCTTGGACACAAATATGATTTACTAATGTAACAACAAATTTTAAATATTGTTTTTTTTCTGTTTTTAATTGATTATTCAATACTTGGCCTATATAAGTAAAATATATAAAAATAATAATGCCGAGCTGCATTTTTAATAAATCTATAACACTAAAACTTTTATGCAAAACAGTTATGTTTTCATTTAGTGTACAATATATTCTTATTCTTTTAAAAATTAATAATTATTATTACTAATTATAAACGAATATTTGTAAGGTTTTTTATAGATATAAGGCATACGTTATTTTTAAAACCAACACTTAAACAAATATTTAATTCAATTATTTATAGAGTTAAATATTTTATCGTTAAAAATATTTTATAACCATAGACTAAACGACATACGTTATTTGATGATACTCCTTATTTATCTTTTATGAAAAAAAATATTCAGTTTTATAATTAATTCATACTAAATTTATTCGAAATGATATAAGAAATTATGATATTAAGTTATGCTTAATATAAACTTAGTAGCCTGTAGTATACAATGTTTTTAAACATTTTTCCAAACTTTTAATTTCAATTTTATTGCTTATGTATTTTTATATTGGAGTCAAAATGAAACTATTCAAAGGCCTAAGCAATAATTAAAAATAAAATTTCCCTAAATTGCGTTTTTTTTCTTCTCCATAATTTAGGATTGCCCAAATCACAAACCGTCTGGTCAGTGGCCACACTTATTGCACGTCTGCTGCGGTGAATTCGCGTTGCCGTCCCGTGACAACAACCGTCCGACCAGACCACCTGAAATATGTTGTGCGCTCAAATAGCATAAAGTGCAATTTACACGTACTTGTACATGTATAGAATTAAGCGTTTAGCTTCATCTACAAATAAACGTAGTTAATTAATTAATAACACTAATGAACTCATGTTCTCACCTGATATTTTAATTAATTTTTATGAACACTAAAAATTCAACTGTCTACAAGCTTCAATAACGAAGAAAGTGTTTTTTTACAAAATTCTCACATAAAATATTTTAAACGTGATGTATTAATGTCGACAGGAGATACAACTTTGTTGTATCTCTAACAACATAACCTTTTAGCTTTATAAATAAATAAAACCTTTGAGCCCTAATTATTATCAGCACAAATTTTGGTTAAGTTACTACCAAGGACGTGTCATACAGAGACCCAGACGTTTTTTAATGAGCAATTACTTATACCTTTACTTAGAATATATGAATGATTAATAGTCTAAACATAATAATAATAACACATAATTAAAATAAGATAAAATGTATAAAATACACTAAAAGAATAATAAGTAATACATGACAGTAAAGACTTGTTGTCAAAAACGATCAACACAACAATAAGATTACCGTTGGTGCTCTTGAAGTACTCACCCGACAATTCAATCCATTCACACACTGAAACATTTTTTTTTCTTTTTAAAAATTTAATGTAAAGTTAATAGTACAAAAATCTCAAAAATATTCATTTCCTTACCTATAGACGCATAGATCAGCATATAACAATTATGTTACAGTTATAGCAAACATTAAAATGTTAAATTAAATGTTTTACTTCCTGCTTTAAAGACTATAGACTACTAGGCTCCGCCCCAGACCCGGAGCCCTTCGAGCCTTANGCCTATTAATGAGGTATTCCCTTTAGGCCTATTCAAAAATTATTTTAGGAGGAAATTTAATATTTTTTACTTTGTTAAACATGTTATAGAAATTGTTTTGCTAAAATTAAAGTAATGATGAAAACAAAGGACATTAGGTCCTTATATATCAGAAGTTGCCTAAAAAAATATTGATAGCACTTGTCCAAGGAGGGGCCAATCTCTCTTAAATACACCCCTGTTATACACAAAAATTATTGATAATCTAATTATAATAATTGTGTTTATATTATAGAATAATTAAAAAAAAATTTAGCAGGTTATTATAAGTAGCACATTGTAAATTTAAATTAAAATTAATAATAAAAATAAAAATAAAAATTTAATTTTGATAAATATATTGGTAACTGCGATTAAACGATGAACATCATAGTTATCATAGATGAATCCCCATTCAAAAGATAAACACATAGTCTCATACATCATACATGAGAAAAAAGAAAATTATTAACTCTGTACTTAGTACTGTTCTTATAATGAATGTACAAACTTAAATAATTATAACGTCTTGAAATTTATATATAACATATAACATTCCTTGATTAAAATAGGGCGAATGCAAAATAGTGTCCTAATAATAATACATAATACACCATATAATTAAGGTTCATAATAAACGTATCAGCAGAAATGAATCACTGCGCATAATAAAACCATGCGCGTGGACTTAAATAAGATATAATAGGACGCGTACATGTGTATTATAAGCAAACAGAAAAATCGTCATTTTCCGTTAAAATTTGATGAATTTCAAACGCTCGTAGCGGCCAGAGTTTTTGTCGGATCTGGGATTTTCCGATTTTTGGCGCTTCCTCGGCACGTACAGAACGCCGTGGTATGATTGCGAATCGTAAAAAAAATCGTTTTCATGTCGTAAAGTGTCGCAAGAATTTCGGGCGGCGCGCCCTGGCGTCTCGAGCGCATGAAAAAAAAAAAGCTCGTAAAACGGTGAAAAATGAACGGATTGAATTGATTTTTTTATCATATCTCAGGAATGTCATTGGGCGGGTCTGATGAAAATTTCAAACCTTAAGTCGTAAAACGCTGGCGTCAGCGAGCGTTTTTCTCGAAAACAGTCGAAATTTTAAAACGCTCGCGGGCAAGCGACAAACATTTTCCGACCTTCGCCAATAATTTTCCCGGAGTCTGGTGACCGAGTACTTTCGTTGAAAAAAAATTTTTTGAAAATCCGAGCACGCTAAGTAATTTTCCCAGAAAAGCGTTTTTTTCCTTGTTCTATTATATATAGACTATATTACACTCCCTGATGTTGAAATAAAAATATGTCCTTATATTAAAAAATATTTTTTATATACTGTAGTAAACATTAAAATATGACTTTTTCTTATTTAAGACAGTGAACCGAACATATTATTTATTAATAATAATTAATTTAACATTAATTAATATTAATATGAGTTGACTTTGAATCGTGTATTTTATTTATTGTTAATAAACACGATCACTTATTTTCAATTTTATTAATACCGATGTATAACACTAGTTTACAACAAAATTTACCTATGACTTATGATAGTCATTTTTTATGTAAAATTTTCCAGAGTCCGAAAATGAAGTCCAAAATACAAAACGTAGACAGTTTTTGAGTTATTGCGAAATTAGCGTTTTTCGTGTACCACGAAAAAGTGTTTTCATTATATTCTAAATATCTTTAATGGCATTCAACCGATTTTCATTTTTTTACATAAAATTAAACAATATTAAATTATTTATAACTTTTATCTTAAACAATTTTTTATCTGACTTTTTTCTCGTTTGCTATCTACGAATTTACCTCTGAATTTTTATCAATTTTTTCACAATGTCAATGTAATTACCTGAAATATTTTATTTCATTAAATATAAAATACATATTTATGTATTTTATATTCAATTTTATTAAATCTATTACCAATAGGAAGAGATGAAAATCGTATAACATCTGCACCGTGTAGTAAAATTTTGTGTACGGACGCTGGCATGTAGTACCATGAGTACAGAGAAACAAATACCTTTGCTGTGTTAATACAATATTTTTCAAAGGCTTCTATATTAATTGTATATCCACTTGCTATAGTCGATATAATAATTCCGCAACGCTTTATTAAATTAATATCAATGCCAGTATATAAAGATGATGCTTCGGCATTTTTAAAAAATTTCCGTGCAGTATTGCCGTCGTTTGTTGTACCATGACCTATTTATAAAAATACCATGCAAATTATAAGTTTTTTACATAATATTTAATACATATAATATTTATATCCAATTTGCTACATTATTATTATAATTTTTTGTACCTTGCAACACAATATCAACTAGAAGTCCCATCTCAGCACGAAATTTATTTTGAACAAGTTTTTTTCGCGCATTATATTGATCTCTGTTTTCAGCTTTAACCTATATTTATAATGTATTTTATGAAATATTTAAATTAAAATTTACAAAATTAATCTTAGGAATTTTACCTGCCACGTTTTAAATTCTAACTTGTACGATAAGTGGATAAAATATTCAAAAAAACGTATCCACGCATGTAATGTTGATTACATTACATCCGTATCTGTAATTTTCCTTTATAACAGGTCGGCTTTTAATTGTCTCAATGTTATTCATTTCGGTCGGCTTACATCCGCAAATATAACAATTTTGACTGGATGTTCCAGTCATTGAATTGCAAACCTTTAAATGTGTAATAAAAACAAAATAACAATAATTTTTTACCATAGACTATTAAAAATAGACATTATTTTTTAAAATAAATAATTTAATTCATGCAAGTTAAAAAGAAACTTATTAAATTATAAATAAGATGAGCATTAATTTTACCTTTCCATCGACCATAGAAAATACAAGAGTGTTTTTAACTTCAAACTGTTCTTCGTCAAATAATACATGCGTATTACTTAATTCCCTTATTTGTTGTTCTATATCTTCAACTTCTAATTTTGTATTTTCATTAGTTTCTTTCATGAACATATATTTTATAGGTCGGCAAAATCTTGTTGACAACGGAGTGAGATTTTTCCAAATAATGTCATAACTATTACCACTATTATCACTATAACATCGAAGTTCAAGAGGGACAATAGAGAACATAAATACCGTTTGGTCTGTTTTACACACATTACTATTAAAATTTTGCCTATATTGGGCTTGACCACTACTACCGTCACAGCCCCATTTAGAAATCATTTCAATAGATTTTCTATTTTTTTCAACCTTGTTTATTGTTTCTATTCGAAAAATTCTATTATTTGTGTGATCTAATAAGTTTTGAAGAGGTATTTTACCTCTTCATTCAACCTGATTCGCTAACATACAAATTATTTGGATAACACATCAGTTTTGTAAAATAAACCTTTTTATAAGATGGATAAATATTACAGTTCCTTTTTTTAGAACCAAGACGAATATTCAGGTATTGTTGTTTTGTAAGCTTATTATCCACAATAAATGCTAGAGCTTCGTCAGGGGTATACGGAATTGGTTTATTATCATTGGAATTTTCCAAAATCATTTTCATTGCTGTG